GGACCAATAGGGGTGATTTGCCTTGTGGAATAGGTTCATAAAGTCGGTGCTTTGAGTTGTCATAAGAACTTGTGCAGGTTCAGATGTGAACCATGTCTAATATGTATTTAATTTTCATATTGCAAAATTTTATTCATTTGTGCATTTTTTTTTTCCAATTATGAAATTTTATTCCGTGTGCAAATTGCTCATACCCTTCTTTCAACTATTTGTATCCATGTATAGTGATGGTACGAAATCCAACAAAATGTGCAATATTGTAGATGTGAAGTAATCATCGACCACCAAAGGCATTTATCCGGACTTAGTTTCTTCTTTCTATCAATACCACAACCAAAACAACCCAAAACAATTCCAAAACTCTTCCCACTCATGGTTGCAAGAGATAGCCACTTAGGAGATCATAAAGGTAGGCAAAAACACAAAGACAATCACCACAAAGCCAGAAGTAACAAGAAACAGAAAACTAGCAGAGAGGAAGAGCCGATTTTTCTCACAAAAAGGCGCATGCAGGTTGGGACCAAAAGAAGGAGAGAAGACCCAATTTAATCAAATAATGTGGCCACATAAGGTAAGTAGTATTAGGGTAAATAATGGATCAAGTAAGGGCTCAACAAGAGACAAATGGGCTACCAAGTGGGCTACCTCTAATTTGGCCATCCAAGTAAGTGGTTTGAGCCATGAGCAACACTAAGAGATTTAGATTGCTTCAGATGACCCAATTAATCTGTGGGTCAGGTCATTTCGATTGTAGTGCTAAATTTGCCATTCAATCATTTGGCCGAATCGATTGAGAATTAAACCGAATTAACATCATAGCCTAAGAGGTTGTTCGACAACAATTCGCCCAACAACCTCCACAAAGAAAACATATCTCTCATTAATGACACCTCTAAAGGAGAACAGATAAAATTAGAAATCATTTACCTGTATCAATGTTTAGAGCTTACAACTTTTAAACTTTACCAGTGACAACACTTTCGTGCTCATGTCTGAAGGGTTATATTGTGTATGGACTTTTTTCAAATCTTATCACTTCTTGTGATACAATATCTCTAATGAATCAATGTGCTTAGTGCATTCGTGAAAAATAGAGTTTTTCCATAAACGTATAGAATATAGACTATAGGAATATACTACCACGTAATCATTCAAGACACATAATTCATAAAACAGACCTCTAAGCCACAGATCCTCTTTAATGACTTTAATGATAGTAATATATACTGACTCTGGCGTGGATCCCAATGATGTGATATAATTGTGATTTCCAACTAACACGAGAATTAGATAAGGTAAACAAATAAGAGAAAGTTGGTTTCCTACCATCCCTATCCTCAGCATAATCGGCATCTACAAAACCCTTCAATTTCACTCATTTGGTACTAGCACCAAACTTTAGACCTACATTACTAGTACCCTTCAAATACCTTCGTAACCACTTTAGAGCTTTCCGATGTTCGAAACCAGATTAGACATGTACATACTAAGAGTACTAACAACGAAAGATAAATCTGGTCTAGTGCAAACCATTAAATACATTATGAAATCGATCACATTAGAATACAGAATTCTACTCATGTATTCTACTTCACGTTCGTTGTAAGGAGCCTCATATTTAGATAATACAATGTGATTAATTAGAGGTAATATGATAGGTTTGCAATCATTCATATCAAATATTTTCAACACCTCAAAATATAAGGAGATTGATGCAGAAACAAAGCAAAATTTGACCTATCTCTTTCGATTTTCATGCCTAAGATTCTCTTATCTTTTCCTAGGTCTTTCATGTCAAATTCTTCACTTAACTTTGTTTTTATGTTCTTTATCCACTTAGGTGATGAATCAATCAAAAGTATGTCTTCCACATAGAGCAACAAAAACAAATAATTGTTATTAGCATTGTAATGTTGAAAATATAGACAATGATCAAACCTGGTTCTTTGGAATCCTATAGTGAGTACAAAGGAGTCAAATCTTTTGCACCACTATCTAGATGACTGTTTTAAGCTATACAAAGACATTTTAAACAAACACACTTGATCAGGTTTTAGTTTTTGTTTAAAATCTTTTGGTTGATTCATAAAAATTTGTTTGTCAAGTTCACCATGTAAAAAAGTAGTTTTTACGTCAGGTTGTTCAAATTCCCAATAAAAATGCACAACCAATGCAAGTATGACCCTACTAGTAGTGTACTTGACAACTGGTGAAAAGATCTCGTTATAATCAACAACCTCCTTCTGTGTGTAACTCTTAGCCACTCTTAGCCACTAACCTAACTTTAAATCTTAAAAGTTTCAATGTACTAGTACCTTCTTTAAACGTAAAATCCCTCTTACAATTGACGATTAATTTATATTTAGGTCTAGGTATTAGCTCCCAAGTTTGATTCTTCTCAAAAGAACTTATTTTCTCTTTAATTCCCTTGAACCACTCTTTAGATTGTTTACTCTTCATCACCTTCTCAAAGATTTTTGGCTCTCTATCAACTAGTTCTTCATAAATAACGTAAGCGAAAGCTAACTCAGATTCATACTTGAATATCCTATGTTCTCTCGTTTGTCTTCTCTCTCTATCCTTAACTAAATTGTAGTTAGCTAAGGGATTTTCTTCTTAAGGATGTTCTTTTATCACTACTTCATCGCTATTCTCCACCTCAAGTTCCTAAACTCGAGTCTCCACCTTTTTCGGAGTAGCAGGGACGGATGTGCTAAGTTTTCCTAACTCTACCTTAACCCAATATCTCTTTTTATCTGGTTTTGTTTCACTCACATGTTCAAGTTCCCCCTTAAGGCAAGGCATCTTACTCTCGTTAAACGTGACATCCCTACTCACGTTGATCTTAACCCCCTTTTGGGTTCTATCCCGTAACCAATAACCCTTAACACTCTCAGTGTATATAGAAAAAGACATTTCCTAGCTCTAGGTTCAAACTTTTCCTCACTTTAATGGGAGAAAGTAGCACAACCAAAGGTTCTAAGTACAGAGTAATCACTTAGTTTACCATATCACGTTCCATAAGGAGTATCTCCGTTTAAGGCTGCAGATGGAGTCAAATTAATCAAATAACAAGCAGTCATAACAACTTCAACCCAAAACGACTTTAGGACACCACAAATTAACATCATGCAGAGCACCTTATCAAGTATGGTTCTATTCATCCTTTTCGCTGTCCTGTTTTGTTAGAGAGTGTAAGGATAGTCTTATACTTTATTATTCGATTTTCTTTACACATACTGTCAAATTCAGCGTTACAAACTCTAGGCATTATCCGTTCTTAAGAATTTAATCCTTTTGTCAATTTGGTTTTCTACTTGTCTTTTCCAGTTACTAAAGTTATGAAAAGTGTCAGATTGATTCTTTAAAAGGTAAACCCACACTTTTCTCGTGCAGTCATCAATAATAAATAGGAAATACATATTCTCACCTGACATGGGGTTACTAGCAGGACCCCACAAATCAAAATGTACGTATTCAGACATGCCATTATCTTTATGAACACTAGTGGAGAAACAAGTTCTATGATGCTTATCAAGCACACAGTGATCACAAAATGACAAATCAGACATATAGTTGTTATCAAATGCACATTTTTCATTAATAAGCTTGAGTCCTTTAATGCCTACGTGTGCAAGCCTATTATGTCATGTATGCATGTGATCAACCTTGGCAGAAGAGATAGAGGAGTTTGAACCTCTAATCACTTCTCCAGTGGTGATATAAATGTCGTTTTTCGTAGTTCTCTTAATAGAGATTATTGCACCCTTAATCATCTTTAATGTTCCGTTTTCAATTTTACCGGTGAAGTCATCTTTTTCAAATCTTCCTATTGAAATTAAATTCCTAGACAATTTAGGAATATATCTAACTCTTTTAAGGTGTACACAAAGCTAGAGTCAAATTTTATGTTAATGTCTTCAATGCCAGCAATAGTGTAAGCAAAGTTATTACACAACACATAAATGCCCAGCATGAGATTTATATAAGTTTTCAAACCAATTCCTTTCAGATATCATGTGAAAAGATGCACCAGAATCAAGTATCCACTCGTGCATACGAAAATTGGAAGTTAAATTTAGTTCAGCAATATAAGTAATAGGACTTGTAATCATGTAAACTTCGTTGTCATCAACATCAGAAATAGAAGACAATACGTTAACCTCATCTCTCTCTTTAGCCTTTTGGTTACCCTTTTCATTATAGCAATCTTTTATAAAATGTCCTGTGTTCCCACAACCATAACATCTGCTAACTTTTGTTCTAGATTTTGATCTGGACATACTCTTGCTCTTCTTCAATCTATCACTACTTTTTTCGTTACTACTTTGGCATCCATCTTGACTGTTTTACCTAAACTGAGTTCTACCCCGCATCAAATTTATCTCACTGCTTTTATTATCATGTTTTTCAACTCTAATTTTCATTTCCTTACTTCTAAGTGAGTCTATGACAATTTTAGGTATCAAAGTGTTCCTTCCATACTTAATTGCATTTTTAACTTCCTTATATGTGCCAGGCATAGAGCCAAGCAAATTATGGCCTTATAGGTTTCAAACACTGTCTCCTCACAATTAACAATATCTTGAACCAATTTCTTAAACACGTCTAAATTTTTATCGAGATCCTTTGAAGGATTCATCTTAAAGCTGAAGAAACGCTCATGTAAGTAAATCTTGTTAGGGGTAGATTTGAGCAAATACAGGTCTTCTAATTTTTTTAAAGTTTTTTGGTGGTTTTCAATTTACACACCTTTCTTAAAACAACATCAAATAAGTGTAAATGATTGAGGTATAAGAAGCTCATCTACTTCTTCTTTTTGTTTTTTTGAAAAATCAGTTGGAAAATTGCTTTCAATGACTTTTGAAACTTTTTGTTAGATCAAAATACCCTTCATTTTTTGCTCTCAGATTGATAAATCACATTTTCCATTAAAAATTCTCAAATCGAAGTTGTGAGTTGTCATTTCCACAAACAACTAAAAAATGCACAAATTACGGTCAAACCATACAAAGTAGTCCTTGGGTTACGGACAATATACTTCGTTCAAAATGTCCAAGATTTTGTAAGACTCATGGTCTTAGATCAAGGGAATATTTG